CGAGTATGGATACCCTTTGAAGGGGTATCGGTACCCATTTGCATTTTTGCTCAAATTCGAATTTAATAGACTTTGAATTATTTTTGAAACATTTTTAAAACTTTGAATAAATTCAATTCAAGTCTAAAAACATTTTGCCTTAAATTTGATATATCGAAACATAATTCAACATTTTCCTTTCAATAGAACTTAAACATGGAAAATTATATAGAAATTTATTAAAAATATCAAATTTATGTTTATAAAAATATTGAACCTATAATTCTTAAAAATTATTTCCATATCATTCTAAACTCAAAATGTTTCTTTCCATGACCAAAAGATGTCAAAATTTAATTAAATCGTTTGAGCAAATTTTAAAATTGAAATCATCATTGTATGCTAAATTTCATGTCAAACTGATTTTTAAGACAAAAAAAATAGCATGCTCAATTGTTAATCTAGAATGTGGCATTCACTTTTTTTTTTGTCAAATTCCACATAATCACTTATAAAATATTTTCATAAACCAAGAGGGAATATAAACCAAATTATCTTATGCTCAGAAAGTAACATGATTCCTCAAATTTATTCATGAACCCAAATGCCTAATCCTTTCTTGATCTTTCCTTAATCACAAGTCAAGCTTTAACCGAGAAAATGACTAAATTAATAACATGATAAACTTACTTTATTGGATGAGAAATCAGCCCTTGTTTTTTTCTTTACCTCAAACAATATCATTTTTTTTGTTCCAAAAGCTTAAAACTTGCCGACTAGTCCAACTATCAACTCAACAAGGGACTAATTTGTAAAAGAAAGAATCCGTTTTGACTAATTTGTAAAAGAAAGAATCCGTTTTGACTAATTTGCAAATCTCCAAAAACCCAAATTTCTGCCCTTTTTCCTTTTCAAAATGGGGAAATATGGAGAACGAGAAAGAAATGACATTTCTTCCCACCTTTATCTATTTATATATAAGACAAAATAAGAATAAAACAATTTCTCAATTAATAACCATCTTTTCCTTCTATTTATCCACATTAATATAATGTATGATATTTTTTTCAAATCTCAATTGCGTACAACTTTAAAAAAAAATCCTGCAATTCAATTTTCACCATTTTTGGTAAACATTGCCATTAGAACTTTGAAATTTGACAATTGAATCTAAATTCAATACCTAATATTCAATCATTAATATTTAATAATATTTTTGAGAGAGTTACTTTATCTTATGTCTATTTACTCTGGTTTTGATATACAATTTGGCTGTTAATTTTCTGGGGTGTAATCTAACCCCTAACCTTTTAGCTTTAATTAACAAATTGATCCTTGGTTTTGGATTTGAGTTTTAATTTTTCCCATACTTTTTGTCGGTTGCAAAGGCCCTTGAATCTGGGTTTGGTACACAATTTGACTCCTAACTATTTTTGTACAATTTAAAAATAATGATTAAACTTTTCATTTATAAATTAAAAATTATTTAAAGTGTTAAGATTTATATTTCAAATGTTAATTTAATAAAAATTCAAAAAATTATATTAAAAATCTGGGGCCCAATTGTATAATAAAACTAAAGTTGGGGCTAAATTATAGACTAAAAATCAAATTTAAAGAGAAAATTGTAAATTAAAGTTGAAGTCTGAAATCAAATTGCACCCAACAGAAAAAGATTAAAATCCAAATCCAAATTACATGATTACATTACATATGAAAACCGAAATGAGAGTAAAAAAAGCATATTAATCTTAAATAAGATTAGCTTGTGCGTGACGTAATTTGACCTACTATGACCATCCATATGGGTAATTAGTTATACATTTCATCATATTTGGGTATCTCATTGACACTCTATTTGCTGTACACCTCTTTCGTTTTCTTTCCATGTATGACCATATTCCACGTATGACCATATAGATATTAAATTATTGAGTTTGATTCCGTTAAAATTGAGTTAATATTTAATTTAGATAAATTTTATTCGACTTTTTAATGAGTCAAAGTTATATACTTTATATTCGATTATATGAGCAATTCAAAAAAATATATATTTAATTTTTTATTTTTTTAAATAAAAGTAACATTAATATTAATAGTAATATTTACATGTTATTTATTTAATAAAAAATAATATATAATTTTTTTTATGGATTTAACATTCAGGTTTGAGCTTGAATCAAATTTAAGTTCGAGCTTCAATCAAACTAAGTTTAAAAATATTTCAAATTCAAGTTTTTTAAATTCGAGTTGAATTTTAATTTTATATTTCAAGTTTGAATCTTATCAAATTCAACTTTAAACTATTTAAATTAAGTTGAACTTGACTGAGTTCGTTTGGAGGATAATTTCAATGCGCAATATTTTAGTTTTATTCGTAAAAATTAACAAATGAAAAACATTTTGTTTAGGGATGTATGAAACGAAGCCGCAGTTAAGAAAGTGATTGAAATGAAGTTGAAAAGCCTATTGTGAGGATGATTGGGCTAAAAGCCTGAACTAAATTACTCTACTCCTCGCTCAGAGCTGAATTTAGCCTGATCGCTCAGAAAATTTGGAGCAGAGAAGAGGGAATGGGTTGGATATGGTTGGAACAGAACTTCCCCTTGGAGTCATAGCTGTAATGCTTTGCGTTATGGGCAATGCTCAGTATTTCTTCCACGGCTTAACATGTCCGGGCCTGTTTCCCTTTTCTCTTTTCTAATTTCAATTTCAAAATTTTGGATCCATTCCTTGTTTGGGTTTTTCAATTTTGATTGAATCTGAAACTCAATCAGCCGAAGCACATCGGGAACGATATGTGGGACGTCGCCATGGAAAGAAGGGATAAAAAGCTCTTGGAAAACCCCTCTTCCTCCCATTGATCTCGTTTTCGTTTTCTAATCGGTACTCGTCTTTTCTTTCTATTTCAGTTTCACCCTTAATTACTCTTTTCTCTTTATATTCATCGCCGTTTTTTACTACTTGCCCTTTGTTTCATCAGAGCTAAACTTGTTAGGGTTTTCACGACGCATTTCTGATTTCAATTCAATTCCTTTTCCTATCTGCTGGATATTCCCATTTTTATGCATTACATCATTAGTAGACTATGTAGTCGTATGTAATTGAACTTTCTCCAGCCAAGTCCCCCCTACCTCACCTCTGGCCTCTTAAGGACAGTAGCTTCAATCCAGCAATGATACGCTCTCTTCCAAGACGTACATACATGCATACATACATACGCATATACATGTTTATGGGATTTTGAAATGATTTTAGAGTAGTATGCATTGATCTTATACATGATTTTGATTTGTTTGTCCATTTCAACACATTTGAAATGGTGGTTTTATCGCATGAGCTCAATATTGAATACACATTGCTGCATTTGTTACAACAGGAAGGAGACTTGGCCAGCACCATGGACATTTTCGGGACCCTGAACAAAAACTAAAAAAATAGCCACTATAGAATGAAAGCATATTCCATTAGTTTGAATAATTAATTGAATATTTTATTATTAACCACATGAACATAATTAAACTTTGTCAAAAGCATTATTTTCATTGTTTTGTTAAGAAAACACTTAATACTACTAAAACAATAATGGCAGCCACTAACTTGCAATATTGTCAAACACATTTTTATTATTTTGTGAAGGTGGCTCCCTCAGCTGGAGGTCATGCTAATGCCACGGGTCTATGCTTCTTGTGCTCTTTATGTTTCACATGTATTTAGTCGTTTGTGCCTGCACTTGAACACATTGGGATTGACAGGTATCCTGACACTCTCCATATACAATTAGGGGGATAGATTTTAATGGCTACTGCCCATTTTCCTTGTATACATCTCTCTTATTAAAGGACAATGGTGTTTTATCTTTGATCCTCGCATAGAAGCTCATGTTATTCGATGATAAATGTAGGAAACTTGGGAGAAGAAATAAAAGTGCTCAATGATATTCTGCCCTGTTGGAGAAGACTAATGAGCGGATGAAGTTGTGTATTTGAGATCTGTTGCTTTCAAATTCCTTGTGACCTTATATTTGCTTATTGTATCCAGTTCATGGAGGCTCTGAAGAATTATTTTTTGCTTAAAGTGAAGGTTGAGTTTGAATGTGTGTAGGGGGGTTTGGGTAACCAAGTCCACATTCTCCTTCACAACTCCACTATGGTCATCATAATCCTTTCATTATCAAACAAACTCTCCGTCACCTACTTAAAGTTGCATCCTCAGTCATAGATGTCTTGGGTCGGATCTGAATTTTGACATCTTTAAATATACAAATCTCTTTTTTATTAGATAAAATAGGACTCTAATTAAAAAAATAAAGAGGAGTATTGTTGTGACATCTTTAAATATATAAGAGATAATTATAATATTATTTTAAATTGAGTCATGTTTTTACCTTTAATTCAAATCTAAACCATCCCTCTCCTTACAAAAAATACTTAATCCAAACTCAAGTTTTTAAAATAAAAAATTGACGTGATCAAGTCAGGTCGAAACCTAGTCCACCAAATTTGATTCAAAACATGACATTCGGATCAAATGTGCATCCCTAATCATACTAAAACTATCCGTTTTAGCACCAGAGTTCTAAGCTTTCCTCAGATTTCAGCTGACTTGTTAGGATGTCTGAGTTTTAAGTCGTATTTTAAACAGGAGTAATTTTTTATCTGACCCTTAAATGAGGTCTAGTTTGGGCTTCCAAAATCGACAGCATGTTTTCGGTTAATCAATTAATTTTGGTTTGGTTTTAAAACAGACAAACATAACAATAAAGGGAGTTGTGTCCCATTAATTATGTGTATCCACCTATGTCTGCATCGAAGTATCCACTAATTAATGTTGTGGTGCTGTCCCAACACAATATTTAAACAAATCTGCCCTGACCATTATTACAACTTTATTTCAATCTAAAATACACAAATCATAAATGTCCTCTCCAACTTATCATTTTTAAGTTTTGTGGCAGACATAGTTACCACTTCAACTAACACCTAAACGAAGCAATCAAGGTCATACCAGAACAGAAACAGGCTTCGGCAGTTCATAAAGCTGAGTAAACCGAAACAAATCTGTTATCTCCACTGCAGGCGTGTCGACATGGAAATAAAACCTGTTGGGACACTCAGTTAATAGTTAAAACCTACACCTACACCTTCCTCTGTATCTGCATTAACATCACCACATGCAATTTGACCAGAAGCCCAAATTTTAAGCTGAGGACAATTCCGTAGCCATTAGCAGCACTAAAGATGGAAGATTGGCTTCCAACTGCTGTTTTGCACACAAGTTCTGTAAGCACATTAATGACTGTGGCGGTTCTATGAAAGTGATATCACAAGCTACAATAGTCTACACATCAGATCCCAATCACATGCACTTGGGTTCAACAAAAAAAAAACACATTCTAGTAATCCCTGTTCTTGTTTGTTTCTATCACCTATGATTTTTATAAAGATGATGTGGGTTAACATTGTGCCTATGACTACTACTTGCTATTTTCTTGTTCAACAGTATATGATTGTAGCCCAAATGTGGAAATGAAAACCACTAGGATTACTCGTCCTGCAAACACATGCTTACCCGAAAATGTAATTTACGTAGAAGGTGAAATTTCGAACACAAGGTTGGAGAATACATGCTACATAGACGACTAAAACAATGACCATGGCGACACTGAAACAAGCTCTATCAATGTCATGAGACAAATATTGTGGTAGTGCAACTACTAGCAATACCGAGGGTAGAACAAAAGGGAAGGCTGGCATCATATTGTTATTTTTCACTATCTAGCATAGAGGACTGACAAGTTTGGTAACACATACTGGACTATGAAAGTTATATGAAAGTGATATCATAAGCTGATACAGTAAAAAAACCAAAGCCCTATCACATGCATGGCCTTACAAGAAAGATCACTTGGGTTAACACACATCCTGCTATAGTTTCTACATCTGTAGTAGCTATAAGAATGATAATTGGCGTAATATTTGTGATGTGTCTGTTAGAAAAATTCATTTAGGTGGACCATGGTTATATGCAGAGATAAATACAAATGCAGCAAGGATGATACTTACTATTTTCTTTTTCTACAAGAAGAAGTAATCTTATTTAGCAAACAAAAAAATTAGAGATCTTCTTGAAGAAGTCTATTTATATGGAAGAACCCAAGAAATATAGCAAGGAAAAATGACAAGATTACTGAACCTGGAAAGACATACTTAACCACACTTCCCATAATGAAATTTTAAGTAGAAAGTAAATAGAAGGCTTCTGATGCCTTGAATAGAATGATCTACATCTTAAATTATATGTCGGCTAAATTAATTGGACTTGTGCAATTGAAGAGAGATTATTCAGGATGCAAATATTCAGCTAGTACATGTTGCATTAATGGCTGGACAGTAAGGTGAATATCCACCCTGTTCCTTACATGATAGTTATCTATTTAAAGATACTCTCTTTTGTCTTCCAAAGCACTTTATCTCTTCTTTATTAAGACTCAAAGGATGAAGCAATATTGGACCTACATTCTGGTGAGCAGGGAATCAGGGATGTGACAAAATAGTTACCTATTCGAAGATTCTCTTTTTTTTCTTCCAAGTACTTCCATCTCTTGTTAATCAAGATTCAAGAGATGAAAATAACATTGGACTTACATTATGGACTTTTTGATGTGACAAAACTAGTGAAGGAGGAACATATAGTTTATTGGTCAAGTTTGAGGGCGTATGTAGAATGTCTTGTTCAACAACTATACACTTCCCAATTTGATGAATTCCATCTGAAAATTATATTTAGCAATGAAATATACAAACAAAATTAGCATTCAAGATAATCAGATTTCAGAGATGATAATGTTTACTGCTTATATCAGACCAGAATGATTTCCTACAAGCACTTTCAAGAAACTACATTTGAGGGAGTAGGACCTTCCAAAACTAAAGGGAATCAATTCTAATGATAATGTTTTGGAGTTACCAAAGATTTAAGATTAGTATAATGTTCAATATGTCTTACCACCTATCATGGTCCTAATGGTGTCACAAAAATGCATAGGATTGCTACACATCAAGAAGAAAGCAAAAAATAAATAAAAAAAATCGAAGAACCTCAAAAGACCAAATTTTGTCACCAAAGAAGATGGGTTCCAAGAGTTCCTAATCCCAGCTGCAGTCACAATTTAAGGGGAAAAGTCCTGGAATCTGCTCCACCTCTTCTAAGTCTTCTACCTTACTTTCTTATTGATATAATATTCTTTTTAACTTTTTTTTCCGGAATACTCCCCTTGGAGATTGTTAACCTTCTTAAGACTACCATTATAGAATGAAAGAACAAACATCTCTCTCTATCTCATCTACCTTAAGCAAGAAAAAAGATTTTTCAACCTAAAATGAAGTTCTCTGTGCCAAATTATAGCCAGGGTATGCAACAATTACTGATTTAGCAGTCGGAACTGATTTCAAAAAACATAAAATTTTAACTCGAGCCACATATGGCCAAGTCTAAAATTTGCCTCAAACCAAAGAAAGTTGGAGTAAAGTTTAGACATCAGCTTGCTTTGATTAGAAAGCAATCTTCATCAACCATTCTCACAGAACTAGACAACAAAAGTATATCTGAAAAAACAAGGCACCCCAAGAAGAAGAAAAATGGTTTTTATTCCTTACGAATGAGACAACTGTAATCCAAGACATGGACTAGAATCATTTCGGCTAAAATGCACACCACAATGAATCATGAAAACCTACACACACACAAAAAGAATACTATAATTATCCACACTACAACCGAGAGGTTACCATGAACAAACCACCATAAAAGAAAACGAATGTGTGATTGAGCAGAAGAATAATTTACTGAATACACAGAGAGAGGAGTTTAAGGCACGTATTCGGTCTCAAGAGTTGGTTGAGTCCGAGTGACGGTTGCCGACGGCGCCTTTGTATCGCCAACGGTGGTCATATGTAGTGCTTCTCCGGCATCGGCAGCCTTTTCCATCTCTTGCATTTTCTTTCTCTGCTTGCATTTGCGCACCCAAAGTACCAAGAACCCCAACAATGCCAGCAATGCCACTCCACCCACAACAGAACCGACGATTATCCATGTTCTTTTGCTATTACTCCCCCTACCCTTCCCGGTGCCGGACTCGGCGGCGAAATCGACTCGGTAACAATCGAAAAATGCCCCTGGTGGATGGTGGAACACTCATTGGGAGCCGTCAAGTTGCTGAATTCGACCAAACCATGTAAATCAAACCAAACGCACTTCCGGACTGACCCTTTCGGAACCGATTCCACATTTGAGAACCTGATTTTAATAGGATCCCCAAATGCTCTTAAATCCAATTCCGGCAAATTTTTAGCTGACAAATCAGAAGCGTCGTAAGCAAGAAGACCCAGAACGGGAGCGAGGTAAGTTTGGTTTTGAAGCGGATAATACCGTAAAGACCAATTACCCAAGTTTTGGTAAACCAAAACCAGGCGTTCGACATAAGGTTGCTCCACAACTCCAATGGGGATCTGGAACTCTTTGTACATCTCCACCCCTCTGGTCCGCATGCTACCACTTCTCAGCCTCATTGCTGCAATCTGAACCCCTGTTAAATTAGAAGGAACAACGCCGTCGTAGAGCACTCCCGTTTTAGGCCGTACAAAGGCCCTATAAGCATAGTCTTGGAGAAGAGTATCGAGTGCTCTAGCGGCAGCGCTCGTTGAAGATGCATTAGTATCGGAAGACTGAGCCAGTAGAGTTGGGACCAAAAACAAGAACAAGCAGAGAAACGAAAAGAGCATGGCGAGACTCGGAAACAGCAGCAAGGAACCACCGGTGTTGAAATTCATTTACAATGCAAGTGGACAAGCGGCATTGGAGCATATTAGTGGGTTTGAGCATTTAAGGAAAATAGAGATTAAAAAAGAAATTCTGTCAAAGAAACAGATCCATAGTTGGAAAGGAGAGAAAAGGGTAGGAGAGGAACTTTGGATTTCTCTTTTGTTATCGTTATACTTGTAGAAAAAGCTATGAAGCAAGCAAGAAAGGGGGGGATACTGTAAATGGGAGAGGAGAGCAGCACTATCTGTATCAGTATTAGTATCAGCAACAATCCTTAGAATTGATTGAAAGAAAATATCAAATCTAAATCATGAAGATGACAAAGATACGGGAAATTGAAGGAGGGGGTACAAACAGATTTACCCAGAAAATTTTCAAAAAAGAAAGAAGAAACGCTCTACTGCATGCTTATATAAATGCCAATGGACATAGTCACAGACAGAGGAGGAGGGGAGGAGAGAGCAAAAGAAGAGAGAAAGGGTTTTCTTTAATTATATACTACAATCTATTTATTATTTACTTACAGGTTGTATAAAGTAGCAGTAAAAATAAAATAAATATGCTTAAACCCCACTGTCCACATGCTTGCTTTTCTGGGGTTTTCTCTCTCTTTCTACTAGGTGCTTTCTTCATACTCTCGTGGACGCCGTTGAACTCGAAAATTGTGCAATCTTTCTAGTCGGACTACTTATTGATTTTAGGATGAAACTTTCATAAAATCATTTTTAGAAAGAAAATCTCTGTAATCGTAATAAAGATATATATATATATATATATATATATATTCAGGAATCTTCATGGCAGTATGGAGTTTGTGTATGTATAGGATTTAGGACGTGTTTGGGTTTGTCCAATAAATTTCATATTAAATTGGCATTTGAGCATTTTGGAATTTAAAAGAAAAACATGGGGAATAGAATCGTTAGAAGAATTTACATAATTTGGCTGTGGTTTTATAAATTTCAAGCACAACGGATATTATTAGAAGAATTCACTTTATGTTTGGATAAATAATAAAAAAATAAAGGAAAGAAAAGAAAAATAGGGAAATGTTAGAGAAGTAGAATACTATATTTACCTTTTAGGTACATTATATAAGTGATTATCTAATTATAGACCTTTTTATTTTGATCATTATTTTTGAATTTTTGTCAGTCAGATTACATAACAATTTAAATGCATTCAATCAAATAATTTGTCGTTAAAATTTAACGGAAGTATTGGCGTGACAATTAATGAAATTGTTATAATTTTATATTTGGTCGTTGTTACTTATATATTCTATCAATTTGGTCCCAATTTTAATAAATTAAAATAAATTTAATCTTCGAATCAGATTGTGTCACATGTCATTAATGCTAATATCATGACACGTGTTGTCACCTGATTGGAGGATTTAATTTATTTTAAAACAATAGATTTATTTTTTCACCAATCAAATGATGATACATGTCACCCTCTACTGAAAATAAAATTAAAGTTGTTGAAATGGAGGAGAGAGTGGGAATTGAACTTAGGTCTTAGGGTTGATTAGGGATGGGCATAAGGTTGGGCGTGCTAGTTTTTTGGTCGTCTCGACCTCGACTCGAAAATATATACTTAAAATATGATCTCGTCCCGATAAATTTTAGGTTTTTTCCTGTCCCGAACTCACCCTGAATTTTAAACTAAAACCTCAACTCCGACGCGATCCAAATATGTTATTTTTTTTTAATAATTAAAATAACATATTTTATAATAAATTTATATTTTTAATAATTAAATAATATATTTGTAACATCCTCAATATCGGGTTAGTGACTAAATTATAAAAATTTCAGAAGTTGGTGATTAAAGTAGAAAAGTTGAATAGTTCAATGATTTATTCAGAAATATTTCCTGAAAGTTGTTAGTAATTATTAAATGAAGTAAAGGGAAAATTGGCCATTTGACATGAAAGATATTTTCCCCTTTAATAGGAGAGAACACGTAGGGGGAGAGTAATATGGAAAACTTTCCTCTTCTTCTCCATTCTTCTTCCTCCTCCCTTCTTCTTCCTCCTCCCCTCTTCTTTCTCCTCCTCGTGAAAGCCAGGCAAATGTAAGATTTCTTTGTTGTTGATTATTAGCTGAAATTTAAGTTGGGTTTTGATCATTAGATAATAACTAAGCTTAAGGAAAACTTAAGTTATCTTAAAATCAAAAGATAAAGGAGTTATGAAAGATTAAAGAGAATGGGTTTTTAAGTGAATTTCTGGAAAAGAGTTGACAAGTTGAATTTGAAACTAAAATTGACTTGTCATCAATTTAATTAAGAGATATGAAGTGATAGAATTGGATTTAGAGCATCTTGAAAATTTGGTATGATTATTTATTTCCATATGAAAGATGGAATTTTGAGGTTAAGGATGTATTGAATGAGTAGAAATTAGTTTAAGTATATGTACTTGAGTTAAGAATGGGAAAAGGAATGAAACATGAAGAATTTAAGCTGAAAAGGATGAATTTTCGGGTGAAAATGATGAATTTTCGGGGTGAAAAAGCTTGTTTTGGACAGAGTGTATCAGTACCCTATGTATGTGTACTGATACCCTCTTGAACGAAAAAATTCAAAATGCAATAAGGGTACCGATACCTTAAGGAGTGTATCGATAGCCCCTAAAGGAAAAAGTGAATATAGGTATATTAAATTTGTTTAAGTTAATAGCATCAAATTATAAGGTGTAGATATTTGATAATTACCTTAAAAATGTATGATTGTGTAGATATCGAGTACAAGAAAGTTCTAAAACGAAAGTAAAAGTTTGGATGGGTCATCAAAGTAAGATTCAAGAGAGAACAAGAATTGGTATTGGCAAGTAGCTAAGGTGAGTACATGATAATAAGGGTAAGTTATGCTATGGAATTAAGACTTGCGATAAGTCTATTTCCTATATTAGAATGCATGAATTTATGATTATATGTATGTGAATGACATGATTTGTATGTATGCTTGATTATATGAGTTGATAGGTTATGGTATGTGTTATATGTTTTATGTGAGTATAAAAGATAGTCATGTGATAAAATCTGTGATATATGGAAATGAAAATATATGAGTATGAAGAGTTATAAGAGAATAAATATAAATTATATGATGGAGTTTCGTAATGTTTTAATCGTATTTATGTAAATGATAATTTATTGTGATGAAAGTTTAAATTTAGTGAGTTTTATACATGTTTTGCCGAAATTACTGTAGCAGGGTATCGGTACACTGTAGCAGGGTATCGATACAGTGTACCGATACCCTTGTAGCATTCTGGAAATTTTAGCATTTGGTATTGTTCACATTACTGTTCATTAATGTTCACGATACTGTTCATACCGTATAATACTATTCATAAAAATATTTCTTTCCTTAAATTTGTTATAATGAACATCATTCAACAATAAAATGTGTAATAATATGAGAATATGATGAAAGTGAATTCTTGAGAACAATAAGAACTAAGTAAACATGTGTAAAGGTTATACAAATAATAGAAACATGGATGAGACAAGTACATAGTGGTATGATCAATTATGAGAATTAGTGCATTAGAGTTATATGATTTATCGAGAATTGAAGAAAACTAGATAAGATTGAATTATAGAATGAACTGAGAATAATATAACACTTATGGAACTTGAATATAAAGTGATGATATGCACATATAATATAAGATATATGTTTATAAATATGACATAGGTTGTGTGTTTTATAATAAACATGAACATATGAGAACAAGAGATGAAATAAGTGACTTTGTGATAGAAGTTATATGACCCTGAGTGATGTAAATATGAATAATTTAAGTAATAAGTAACTATGAGTATTGGAGTATGTGTCTATGTGATGTGATATATGAGGTCATATGAAATATTATACGACTATGCGATTATATGAAAAAGAATATAGGCATATGTGAATTATATAGAAATAAACTGCGTGATTGGATGTGATTATGAGAAGAAGAAAATGAATATATGAATGTATGACTTTGAGAAGTCATAATAATAAAATATAAGCTATGCAAAAGTGATCTACGTGATTATATGTATATGTGATCCAAGTTTTGTGACATACGCTACGTGATATGTGAAAGTGAACTACGTGTTATGTGAAATGATAAGTATAAAGATAATGCCCATGTTATGTGTCATGAGATCTAGAGGTATAGTTAGCATGCCAAGAGTCGAGGGTCTACGCGGTCCTTCAAGACAATTCTACGTGGTCCTTCGGGAGATATATGTATTCTTTGGAACAGTATGAGGTCTTTTGAGACACCTACTTGATCCTTGGTATATGTATATGATTCTTAAGGAATTTCTATGTGGTCCTTATGGACAATCTTATATGGCACTATGGTGCATTTCTACGCGGCACTTCGGTGCAAATTCTACGTGGCACTTCGGTGTATTTATACGAGTTGTGGTGACAACATTTGTGCACAACCTCAATGTACTCACATACCTTAAGTTCTCAACAGTATACATGGGCTAATCAAGTAATAATATAAATATATTATATGTGATATGTGTATGTGTGACATGTTATGAGGAATGAATTACAAGGATTATATGATGCTATGCATGATAGAATATAAGTTGTTTTGTGTGTATTGTTTAATTAAGAATGACTAAAAGATATAATGGAATGAGGTAAAGATGTAAAGGATGAGTTATGTATATGAATATATTGGATTATATGAAATGTTATAAGGTTTTGCATGATATGATAATATTAATTGTACATGCATTGTTATAAGTAATAGTTTAAATTATATGTTTTATATGTCTCACTAAGTCAACGACTTAGCGTGTGAGTGTTTCACACGTAGGTTTTGACGAGTTTATGGAACGATGAAGAGCAAGACATGTCAGTTTCTCCTTACTGAAGGTCAGATCAGAAGAGAAATGAATAGTATGTATTTTATAATATTGATTGTAGTTGGCATGTAAATCAATGTTTGAATCTGATATGCTATAATCGGTTTTGTAAAATCATTTGATTGTAATTTATGTAAATATAGTTGTGTGTTAATAAAAGTTTTAAAATTACTCACTATTTTGTACAAGTAAATGTTTTGAAATGTCAATGTAACACCTCAGATTTATATTCGGGTAGAGTACGGGTTAGGGGTGTTACACTATTTTAATAATATAAAATAAAAAAATTTAAAATATTAAATATAATATATATAAATAAAAAGTAATCGATTAGACCGGGTCGGTATTTTTCACCTTAAACTCGGCCCGGTTCCGTCCCAAAATTCTATACCATATAACTCGTCCCGTCCCGAGCTCTAAAATTTAAAAAATGTCGCTATAGAGTCGGGTTAGGTCGGATCCAATTGGGACTCGTCAAGTTCGGGTATTTTAACCATTCCTAATGTTGATAGAGCAACCTCCCAACCATTGAACTTAGCAAATTATTTGATTAGGGATAGATTACATGTAATATATATTTTATAT